ATCGGGGTGGAAAGTTTCCAATAGCCCACCCTGTATAATGCATTAGATTATGTATTTTAACTTGTTAGCAAGAGTGTAATTTCAAGTGTAGTTTCAATCTCGCCCAGCACTTTCACTCTCAGTTGTAAAATGGGTTGGCAGACGATTGGAATAGTTAAATAGTTACTTAAAGAAAATTTTTGTCTTTTGTCACCCTTTTCACAGAACATACATATTTTTGAAACATCTCGTTTCCAAAGTAAGTTAAAAAATAATTTATTACTGGAAAGCTTTGCGATGTCAAATGTCAATTGAAAATTTTTAGAAAATGGTCTATATTATGCTGTTTTCTTTTACAGTTTGAAATCGAAATGATTGATAGCTTACATAAGCTCGCAAAATATCGTTATGAATGTGGTAATTATTCAGTGTCTACATCTTATCTATACTTCTGTATGTTGGTATTGCCTCCCAATGATAAAAATTACTTGAGTGCCCTGTGGGGTAAATTCGCTTCAGAAATACTGGTTCAGAATTGGGATTCCGCATTAGAAGACCTGAATAAATTAAGGGAATACATCGACTCTAGCCCGAATCAGTTTGGAGGTAACAGTTTGCAATTACTTCAGCAAAGAACGTGGTTAATCCACTGGTCGCTATTTGTTTTCTTTAATCATGCCATGGGAAGAGATTTAATTATTGAAATGTTTTTATACCGCCCGCATTACCTTAATGCCATTCAAACTATGTGTCCTCATATTCTGCGTTATTTGGCAACTGCAGTAATTATAAATCGTGGACGAAGATCAGCTCTTAAAGATTTAGTGAAAGTTATTCAGCAAGAGAGTTACACTTACAGAGATCCGATTACGGAATTCCTGGAGCATCTGTATGTAAACTTTGATTTCGATGGAGCTCGACAAAAATTGCACGAGTGCCAAACTGTTTTATTCAACGATTTCTTCCTTATATCATGTTTAGACGAATTTGTAGAAAATGCTCGTCTAATGATTTTTGAAACTTTCTGTCGTATTCACCAGTGCATCAGTATTGGTATGCTTGCTGAGAAGCTTAATATGAATCCCGACGAAGCTGAATGCTGGATAGTAAATCTAATTAGAAATGCCAGATTAGATGCTAAAATTGATTCCAAACTGGGACATGTAGTGATGGGAGCTCAACCTCTTTCACCTTATCAACAATTAATTGAAAAAATTGACTCATTATCTGTAAGATCAGAAACGTTATGTGGACTCATAGATAGGAAACTTAAGGCAAGGACGGACGTAAGTTTGTTACTTATTATACAGGGTGTTTCATAATATATGCGCAGGACTTCAGGATGTGATAGCTCGTCCAAAAATTTGAAAAAAAGTTTGTATTAACTTACCCTCTAAAATGCACAATTTTCGAGATACAGGGTGTTGAAATTGTAAAAAAAAATTATTTTTTTGCGAATATGTCCGGAACCGTTTATCGTACAGAAAACAGCTTTTGTAAGCATTTACTACTCATAATAAGCTATGTTCTGTGCNTATTAATGAGTGTGTCGAGTTTTTGGTGTAATTTAGTGGTGTTTTCGTCCGAAAGTTAAACAACGGATGGGGCTCACCGAATTTGCTATCTCTCTCTAGCAATATGCAACCGCGTACTGCTAGAGAGAGATATCATTTTCCCTCCTATACCTCTTTCTCTCTAAACCTCCGCTACACTCTCGACCACTGAGACGCTGCCTCCAGTAGTATATGCTCTGTGGTTTTACTGAAATTCTGCCGAGCGAATTACGGAACGCACACCAATTGATTTGTAATAACACAACCCTAATCCTTATTGTATGGTCCGTGGTGTTATTAAGGACAAGGAAAATAAGAGATCAAAATTTCTTACATATTTTGTGTTGTGGATTAAAAGATATTTTGTGGTTATTTGAAGTGAGGAGTTTTAAATAAAAATAGAGCGAGGAAAGATATTAAAGATGGCACAATTTGATTTGACTTCAAAAATGGGTCAGTATTTAGACCGGCATTTAGTATTTCCATTGTTGGAATTTTTATCAGCTAAAGGAGTGAGTAACATGTTGGGTTATACAGAAACATTTTAACATATTGAACGATTTTAGATTTACAATGAAACCGAGTTGCTTAAAGCTAAATTAGATATTTTAAGTAAAACTAATATGATAGATTATGCAATTGATATAAGAAAACAGCTATATCCTGATGAGGAGGTTCCCGAAGATTTGAAGCAACGACGCATTCATGTTGTCGCACAGTTACAAGAGCTTCAACAAGAGGTGGAACCAATCTTACAAATAATGGGTGATGATGAAGTTATGAAAAATATGGAGAACATGAGAGATTCTAAAACACTAATTAATTTTCTTTCAAAAGATTATAAGGTATAGATTTTGTTTCTTGACCTAGGGATATTTTTGTAAATAACTTTGAAAATTAGTTTTTAAAACTTATTGTTTATAGGGAAAGTATATTTTTTTTAATAACAAAGCTTTGACGTACGTATAGTTGCCGATGCGATGTAGCATAAGTTATCTATTGTAAATCCCACAAAATTAATTCAGTCCTAGTAGTATTCAGTCTTTCAGAAATAAGCATGTTCCGCGAAAAATATAATAGGATACATATATAACTATGATATAAATACAGGGTGAGCCAATGGAAACCTTCAACACCAATTTTTTTGGTTTAAAATAAAAATTTGGGAAAACGCTCGGACACGTCAACTTTTGATTTGAGGGGGAACTATTTTTCAGTTTTTTTCATCCCCGTAGCTTTAACCCCCTAGCTGGGGAGAGAACAACCCCCCAAATTTGAATAGGGGATAGGGGTCAGGCTATACCTCTTTTTAAAAGTCTCATAGAGTTCTTTATGACCCTACAATTTCGCCTCATTATTTGATCTTTCCAGTCTAGACTTTCTAAGTTCTGCAAGAACGCATAACTGTAGAATGTTATAGGATAACTGCCGATATGTTGCAGAATGTTAGAGAAGAGATAGAGGATCGATTTTATTATTGCATGCATGGTAATGGCAGACATTTTGAACAGTTTGTTAGATAAAGTTCACGTGTAGACCTAATTAATAAATTAGTAAGTATTTTTATTTTGACAAGCTATTTCGTTACGGATAAAAATAATGAGGCGAAATTGTAGGGTCATAAAGAACTCGATGAGACCTTTAAAAAGAGGTATGGCCTGACCCCTATCCCCTATTCAAATTTGGGGTGTTGTTCTCTCCCCAACTAGGGGGTTAAAGCTATGGGGATGAAGAAATCTGAAAAATAGTTCAAATCAAAAGTTGATGTGTCCGAGCTTTTTCCCAGATTTTTATTATAAACCAAAAAATCGGGGTGGAAAGTTTCCAATAGCCCACCCTGTATAATGCATTAGATTATGTATTTTAACTTGTTAGCAAGAGTGTAATTTCAAGTGTAGTTTCAATCTCGCCCAACACTTTCACTCTCAGTTGTAAAATGGGTTGGCAGACGATTGGAATAGTTAAATAGTTACTTAAAGAAAATTTTTGTCTTTTGTCACCCTTTTCACAGAACATACATATTTTTGAAACATCTCGTTTCCAAAGTAAGTTAAAAAATAATTTATTACTGGAAAGCTTTGCGATGTCAAATGTCAATTGAAAATTTTTAGAAAATGGTCTATATTATGCTGTTTTCTTTTACAGTTTGAAATCGAAATGATTGATAGTTTACATAAGCTCGCAAAATATCGTTATGAATGTGGTAATTATTCAGTGTCTACATCTTATCTATACTTCTGTATGTTGGTATTGCCTCCCAATGATAAAAATTACTTGAGTGCCCTGTGGGGTAAATTCGCTTCAGAAATACTGGTTCAGAATTGGGATTCCGCATTAGAAGACCTGAATAAATTAAGGGAATACATCGACTCTAGCCCGAATCAGTTTGGAGGTAACAGTTTGCAATTACTTCAGCAAAGAACGTGGTTAATCCACTGGTCGCTATTTGTTTTCTTTAATCATGCCATGGGAAGAGATTTAATTATTGAAATGTTTTTATACCGCCCGCATTACCTTAATGCCATTCAAACTATGTGTCCTCATATTCTGCGTTATTTGGCAACTGCAGTAATTATAAATCGTGGACGAAGATCAGCTCTTAAAGATTTAGTGAAAGTTATTCAGCAAGAGAGTTACACTTACAGAGATCCGATTACGGAATTCCTGGAGCATCTGTATGTAAACTTTGATTTCGATGGAGCTCGACAAAAATTGCACGAGTGCCAAACTGTTTTATTCAACGATTTCTTCCTTATATCATGTTTAGACGAATTTGTAGAAAATGCTCGTCTAATGATTTTTGAAACTTTCTGTCGTATTCACCAGTGCATCAGTATTGGTATGCTTGCTGAGAAGCTTAATATGAATCCCGACGAAGCTGAATGCTGGATAGTAAATCTAATTAGAAATGCTAGATTAGATGCTAAAATTGATTCCAAACTGGGACATGTAGTGATGGGAGCTCAACCTCTTTCACCTTATCAACAATTAATTGAAAAAATTGACTCATTATCTGTAAGATCAGAAACGTTATGTGGACTCATAGATAGGAAACTTAAGGCAAGGACGGACGTAAGTTTGTTACTTATTATACAGGGTGTTTCATAATATATGCGCAGGACTTCAGGATGTGATAGCTCGTCCAAAAATTTGAAAAAAAGTTTGTATTAACTTACCCTCTAAAATGCACAATTTTCGAGATACAGGGTGTTGAAATTGTAAAAAAAAATTCGTTTTTTGCGAATATCTCCGGAACCGTTTATCGTACAGAAAACAGCTTTTGTAAGCATTTACTACTCATAATAAGCTATGTTCTGTGCGAGAAAAAATTTTTTTCAAAGTCATAATTGGTGAAGATTTTGAAGGGGAAGTGGGTGTTTTTCTCCCCAACTTCTACGCCACTGGAAAAAGTACGGTTTTGAGACGCCCATTTGAACCGCCAATGTTTTCTACACAAAAAAAGTACTCTTGGTCATAAGCTCTAAAGTTGACCGTTTTCGAGAAAAATCTACTTTTATGTTGAAAAACATGGTCAATTTTTTGAAATAAAATTTTTATTTTACTAAATGTATTATAATTTTTTTTATCAAGTAGGCTTTAAATTTTAAAACAAAAGCTACCTCCTGTCAAAATAACAATTAGTTTGTACCTGCGAAAAGTCAATTTGTATTACAAAAGTAAAAATGAATTACACAAACGCTGAAATGTGCGAAATGCATTACCTTTACGGAATGGCGAGCGGTAATTCGGCAGAAGCAAGGCGGTTGTATCAAGAAAGACATCGTGATCGCCAAGTACCACATCATAACTTGTTTCAACGCATTCACCAACGACTATGGGAAAATGGAAGTTTTAAAAAGAATACTGCTGATAATGGGCGGCCTATGGAAGCTGCAAATGCCCAAGTAGAAGAGGCTGTCCTCAACGAAATTGAAGAAAATCCGATCACAAGTACCAGAAAAATTGCTCACAACTTAAACATACCTCACTCGACGGTTTGGAGAATTTTGAAAAGACAACTTTTGTATCCCTACCATATCCAAAGAGTACAAGCCTTATTGCCAAGAGATTTTCCGCCAAGATTGGCTTTTTGTAGATGGATGCAAGACAAAATAGCTCAAAATCCTCAGTTTGGAGCCGAAGTTATGTTTACCGATGAAGCATCTTTCTCGAGAGATGGTATTTTCAATTTTCACAATAACCACATATGGGCTGAAGAAAATCCACATGAAATTGCAGAAGGCAATCATCAGCAACAATTTTCCGTGAATGTTTGGGCTGGCATCGTCGGTGATCATTTGATAGGCCCACATTTTTTACCGAACAGATTAAACGGTGCAGATTATCGACAATTTCTAGAAGAAGTACTGCCGGAACTGCTGGAAGATGTACCGCTTCAAGTAAGAGAAAACATGTACTTTATGCATGATGGAGCTCCGGCCCACTTTAGTTTGGTTGCTCGCCAATACTTGGACGACGAATATCAAGACCGTTGGATCGGTCGAGGAGGTCCCCATCCTTGGCCCCCGCGATCTCCCGAACTTAATTGTTTAGATTTTTTCTTTTGGGGCCATCTCAAAACCCTAGTCTACGCTACTCCAGTTGAAAATGTTGATCAATTAAGAGAACGCATTGTTGCATCTTGCGACATAATTCGGAACACTCCGGAAATTTTCTTGCGTGTTAGACAGTCAATGCGTCGAAGAATTGCTGCGTGCATTGAAGCTAACGGAGGACATTTCCAACATTTAATTTAACTGTGTACGATTTGTTTTTTTTTAAATTTTGCAACTATGAAGTTAACGTTTGGTTTTGTTACTTGTTCTAACGATTAAATAAATTTTGTTTAATTAGTAAAAAAATTTTATTTCAAAAAATTGACCATGTTTTTCAACATAAAAGTAGATTTTTCTCGAAAACGGTCAACTTTAGAGCTTATGACCAAGAGTACTTTTTTTGTGTAGAAAACATTGGCGGTTCAAATGGGCGTTACAAAACCGTACTTTTTCCAGTGGCGTAGAAGTTGGGGAGAAAAACACCCACTTCCCCTTCAAAATCTTCACCAATTATGACTTTGAAAAAAATTTTTTCTCGCACAGAACATAGCTTATTATGAGTAGTAAATGCTTACAAAAGCTGTTTTCTGTACGATAAACGGTTCCGGAGATATTCGCAAAAAACGAATTTTTTTTTACAATTTCAACACCCTGTATCTCGAAAATTGTGCATTTTAGAGGGTAAGTTAATACAAACTTTTTTTCAAATTTTTGGACGAGCTATCACATCCTGAAGTCCGGCGCATATATTATGAAACACCCTGTATAGTACAAATATAAACTTTTATTTTTTTTTACAGATACGATGGGGAAATCAAGAATTTTAAATAAAAAAATGTTTAAGTTAAGATTTTGTATTGTTCAGCTAACAGAATATTTGCTGTACATTAAAAATCTATTTTTATTAAACAACCAATAAATTGTCTTTATTTCCCCTTTCTTAAAAAAAAAACAAAGTAATCCAATGCTAAAAGTATTCTGCACGTCATTAATTGCGACTAATTTTGTGTAAGAATTTTGTATTCCTAAAAATATTGAGACAGGTTCTTTTACCAATAAAATGATTTGTCAAAATTTTTCAACAAATCAATGATTTTCTAGAACCTCGCCATCAAAAAAAATTGTTTCGTTATACCACATTCAGTAGTTGTTGAATTTCATATACAGGGTGTCACCTAGCGAATGTTACATACTTCAAGGGTATAATCTAGAATCCAAATGATGTCGATTTAACCAAACTTGCCTAAACGAAAAATGTCAAAAAAGATACAGGGTGTTGGAAGTTTCTTTTTTATTTCTTGTTTTCTCCTTAACTCAGAACCCAGTTAAACGATTTGAGCAAAATTTGCTGTTGCTTAGTTTCTCTTCATAAAGTATACAGTGATTATACTCCTATTAGGTTAAATCATACAGAGCGTTCATTTTACTACAACCCTTTGTGAATATTCCTTTTTTTTGTTACACGTCTATTAGAAATAGGTAGAGAATTGTACACAAAAAATGTATACCCATCAAAAGTTGAAATTATGCTTGATATTACAGAAAATATTTATTAACACACCCCACATTTTTTTGGAAATTACGTATTCAAAATAAATAGTTTGTATTTTGCAAAAGTTTGTTTCTGAAAATGCCTCGTTACAATGAATTTACAAATTATGAAATGAGAGACATGATAGTGGTATATTTACAGGCACATTTTAGTGAACGCGCTGCTAAGAGAACATATGAAGAACTTTATTCAGAATCGCAGACAGCCTTCTCACACATTGTTTGCTTCTTTATTCACAAGATTAGGAGAAACTGAAAACTTTCGGTCTAATTCACGAAATGGAAGGTACGTTTAAAGAAGGATACAAGACAAAGAACAAATTTTAGAAAGAGTAGTAGAAAATCCCGAAATTAATATTCGTCGTTTGTCATCAGTCACAAGAGTTAGCCGCAAAACTGTTTCAATTATACTCCACGCAACGTTTCCATTTTCACCCAGTACAAAATTTGCTTAAACCAGACCGTCCGCTGAGATTAACATTTTGGGAACGATTTCTCCAGTTACATAACAGGGATCACACTTTTCTCGGAAGAATTGCCTTTACAGATGAAGCTGATTTTACCCTTAGAAGTATTTTTAATTAGATAGATTGTCAACGTGTGAAGCGAAGAAAATGCGCACACAATAAAAGAGCATCACTTCCAACACGAATTTTCAATTGTGTGGTGCAGAATTGTAGAAAATTTTAAATCGAGCATTTCTAAACCATTGGATTGGTCGAGGTAGTGACTTTCCTTGGCCTTCTCAATGTCCAGATAATAATCTGTAAGACTTTTAGTTTTGGGGGTCATTTGAAAGGAATTGTTTACAACTCTGTAACACCTAATATAGGAGAACTTTGGAATACGAACGTATAATTTGTTTCTATTCTGAATAGTTTCATAAAATGTTTAAGGAAATGTGTGGAAGCGAATGGGGGACACGTAGAACATTTATTATAAATTAGTAGACTTTTTATTACTGCCACCTTTCAGTTTATTAATTATGGATACGTAGTTATTTCTAAAAAATGTGTGTTAATAAATATTTTCTGTAATATCTTCATAATCGAACATAATTTAGATTTTTGATAAGTATACATTTTTTGTGTAGAATAAAATTCTCTACCTATTTTTGATAGTTGTGTGTAAAAAGGTTACAGAAGAATATTCACAAAGGTTTGTATACTCCACGGTCGAAATTATAGAGTGACTCAGACATAATATAAAAAACTATTACCATAACGCGTATAAAATATAAGATGATTTTTATAAAGGTTCAACATTATTTATCTTTGTACCGCTCGCTACACACATCAATAGAATCTATAATCGTCTATAGACTGAGTTACACTGAACGTCGATCTATATTCTATCTCTGTCTTTTGCACTTGGTAGGGAATAGGGAAATGCTTTTTTAGTGGGTGTAAACGGATTTGATTTACCCGTCCTGAGGAACGTTATAGCATAAGTGTAGACAAGGGGTCTAATTCCGTGGCTATAATAAATTTATGAATTAAAAAAACACAACTGGGACGTTTTAAAATGCTGTAATAATTAAAATGTATCAAAGTGCCGGTTATAGCAAAGCGTAAAAAAATATTAGATGTTATGTTTTATTATCTTTTTTCAAATATTTTCTATATCTTGTTGCCTTTTACGCAGACACGCCAATGGATTTTCGTTCCCGGCACGCTTCATCCCCCTTACTAGTCCAAAAGCTAGCAATGAGTCACTATAAAATGAACGTCCTGTATGATTCAATCTAATAAGAACATAATTACTGCATACTGCACTAAGCAACAGTAAAATTTGCTCAAATCGGTTAACTGGGTTGTGAGTTAAGGAGAAAACCAGAAATAAAAAAAGAAACTTTAACACCCTGTAACTTTATTGCGACATTTTTCGTTTAAGCAAGTTTGATTAAATCGACACCATTTGGGTTCTAGATTATACTGTTGAAGTATGTAACATTCGTTAGGTGACACCCTGTATAGAACGGTTAGTTTAATTTTTTGCTACTAATATGCACTGGAGTTTAGTTATTACTCCACTTTTAGTAAACAACTGGTATTTTGTATTTCTACCCTTATAGCCATTTTATAGTCAAATAAATGTATGAATTAATATTAACAATTGTATTACACAGTTCAGTTTTTTATTGTAATTACTAGTAATTTTAGTTAAATAATTTCAAGAGAATAGAAACCAATATAAGTAACGTTTAATGATTTTTATAAACACCGTTGGCATTATATGTTTATATCAAAATGAAACCAGAATTCACTAAAAAATTGTTGGAAAATTACAGCCAGATGTATTTTTACAATTTCTTCATGAATTTATTATCATCGATAAATTGATGATAATTTTATCAGTGCTTTGTATGGATGTAAGGATTTAATTTAAATAATAGTAAAACCACGAAATTTTTAATTTATATTCTGAAAAATATGTACCTATTTACAATAATTATACTTCAAATTGAACCTAACGGTTTTTTTGTTATAAATGTATTAACAATTCTTATTTGAAAGTTCAAGATAAGATAAAAAATTACAAAACTGTAAGTAAAGATGTCTTGGTATTTATAAGGACTGGCAATCCAGCTGAAAGAATTAAGTGTACATAAACACAGGTATTATAAGTTTCCGTAAGTTTCTGAAGATAGTACTTAATATACTTGAACCTAGATCCCTAAAAAAAAAATATAAATGTAGTCCTGTAAAGATTTTATCTGTTTTCGACTTGAATCACGAAAATATATGGTTATATTGTGGTTGTCCTCTGTATGTGAATTTTGAAAAAAAAAGTTACAACAATATGTGTGATGTGTCATCAAATAGATGTCCCAATCATTTTTAAAAATTACAGGTAGGGTTCCCACTTGTCCTATATTTCAGAGCACACTTTTATATTTAAAAGTTATGCCATATATTAAGGAAGAGGAAATTCTAATAAAAATTAATATTTCACGTTTTATAAAATAAAAAATAAAGATCTCCGACCAGCTAAACCGAATAATAAATATAGGTCTTTGAAACATGTACGTTTTATATACACTGTGTTCCAAAGTCCAGGAACATTTAGATTAAAAGTGAGTTTTAGGTAAAGTTCAGATATACTTCAGAAAATACATTACTTTTGTCATTTTTTGATGTGTAAACAAATGTTTACAATTAACCCTCTACCCCCCGCAGGGCTCCCCCATTTTTTTTAATTGCACAGTATGGCTTGTGATAGGTCATTTGAAAGATAATTTCATTCTCTTTATGGTAATGTAAAGTTTTCTGAAAAATTTTAGAAAACAAAAGGAGTTATTTTTTTAACTGAACCAACATTAAATCCCAATTCATTTATTTAATTAAATAAGGTTTGCTGGTTAATAATCATGCAAACCGCATTTTATAATAAAGTAACTTTGTCAAAAAAATATTCGATTTGTCAAATTTGTTCATTAAATATTTAATCAAATATGGCTCTAAATGAAAGAGAAAGAATAACGATTTTGATGATGAGAGGATATGGTGTATAGAACAATACGAAGGTTTGAAGAAACTCGAACCGTGAAGGACAAGCCCCGATCAGAACGCCCAAGAACTGCAACTAATGACAATAATGCTGTTGAAGCATTGCAGTTTTGTGGAAGATTCTCAAACTTCTGTGCATGCTTCTGCTAGAGAACATGATGATGATAGACCATCTATTTGCCAAATTTTAAAAACAAACTCATATAAACCTTACAAAATACATTTACTGCACGAGTTAAGTGAAGATGATTATGATCGAAGGTTTGATTTCTGTGAAACTTTAATGGCAAAAGTTGACCAAGAGGTTAATTTGAGGTACTGGAGTGATCAAAATTCTCACTAGATGAGAGAACATACCCAGAGATCTCAAAAAATAAATACGTGAGCTGGTATTATTGGTACTACCATTATTAGTCCGTTTGTAAGTAAATGGCCAAAAGTATGAACAAATGTTACGTATTCAAATTGTACTCGCTTTACAAAACTGAAGACATTAATTTTAACAGAATATGGTTCCAGCAGGACGGTACAACACATTTTGCTATGAATGGCCAGCACGCTCTCCTGATATAACACCCCTAGATTACCTTTAAAAAATAATGTTTATAAAAGAAAGTCATTAAATATGAGGAACAGAATATTTGAGGAATCGCATCACAACAAATTACCAGAGATAACTTAATGAACATTGTGACATCATTCTACTATAATAGGTTGGGATATTGCCAAATTGAGGGTTGGAGACAGTTTGAACATTTATTATAGACTTTATTCAAAGTATAATCGCATAATTGTGTTATTTTTTCGTTTGAATTTTTTAATAAAGGTGTGTATTTAAGGAGGTTTATCTGATTTGGAATTGACGAACAAATATTCATAAAAAAAAAAATAATATAAGCTTATTAATATGAACAAAATCCTCAAAAAAAATTATGACTAGTTTGGATACCAAAGAGACGAGATATTAATAAAATAATTTTTCACGATTTAGTACAGAGTCTTATGAGAATGCAGATTTTTTTGGTCTTTCCACTTAGAATGCGCGACAATTGACGAACAGTTTCCATAGCAACTTGTATAAATAGGAAACTGATATCTAAGGAACCGTATGACGGCTCGGAAAAATCGATTAGGTACTTGTAAGATACATAATTTATAATAATTCTCCTTCAAACTGCTGTCGTTGACTAACTTAACCTCCATATGCGTGATAGCGGCAACGCCGCGGTTCTCGAAGTAGCGTATTATTTGAAATTCGCAGGTGTGACATATGATGTATATTTCAAGTTTAGGCATCCTAACAAAGCCAGCCAAGTGCAACGTTTCCAAATCTAAAGGTTTACTACTTTAGTCACTAGCGAATCTACAGACTCTCGTCAGACTTTAGACGCACCTCTGTACCCGATAAACCTCCTTAAGAAAAAATAACTGTAACTTCTTTCTTTTCCAGAAAATTTTATATTACTGTAAAGAGACTGAAATTATCTTTCAAATGACGTATCAATGACTATGCAATTTAAAAAAAAAAGTGGGGGAACCTTGTGTGAGGTAGGGGGGGTAAATGTAAACATTTGTTTACACGTCAAAAAATGACAAAAGGAATGTATTTTCTGAAGTATATCTGAACTTTACCTAAAACTCACTATTAATCTACACATCTTGCTGTTCTGGGACTTTTGGGACACAGTGTATTACATACTTTATACTAAATAGTATCTTTGTAAATAGTATACCTAAAGCTCTATAAAAAGCAAGTATTTGACTAATGTATTAATTGTATGTTATGCACTGTTAAACTTTGTGGTAAAAAAGACATTCAAGCAAAATGATTGTAATGTCAACAATTTTGAACTCAAATAACTTATATACTTCCATCAAATATATCGAAAACAAGAACCAAGATAACTGTGCTGCGGATACCTGCACTTTAGTGCCTTAAGTATACCTACTCATACTCAATGTATAGTATGTTCTACATTTCTGTTTTGAGTACCATCGAAGAAGTACGAAAATATAAATATTTTACAGTGCGATAAAAAGTGTGGAAAAAATTTCAATATTTCTTAAACGATGTTCATGGTTTCCTCGGACACTTCAATTTTACATTTTAACCAGATATTTTTTCATGTCTCCCACTTACATCTTTTCGAAAATAACGAAATTATTCCATACTTTTTTCCACATGTTTAATATCCATGCCACATGCTCATTTAAGTATTCAGTATTTGCGATTCTAGACCACACATGATCGGAGTGCAGTACCCTAAATGAAAACCAGACTTAAATTTGTCTTCATACAGCCATTAATAAACATTGAAAGAAATCAGAGAACACAAATTTTGACATAAAGAAAAAAAAATATTGTTAATTTAAGAATTTACCTACTTTCCTTAAAATGTCAGCCGACATTTTACTTTATTCGTCTCCTCTCAATGCTCTATATTTGCTTAATTCATTAGGAAAAGTTCTACTTAATTCCAAGAGCATATTTGCTTTAAATTTCCTATAAGCATCAATTTTTCCCTTCACTTGCTCATTTTTGGCTAAAGCTTTTTCAATGCAGTCTTTAGTATACAATTGTGGATTTCGTCCCTGATCAATATAACTAAAATTATATCATCTTATTAATTAAAAGAATATTTGCTACTTGCACTTATAATTGTTACTGTTACATTATCCACTAATCTCATTCAAAAACATTGTTCGATTCATTAATGGACAATGTGAGAATCCCAAAATAACATAAAGGTGGTTATAACGTTCATCTTCAATCGTTGATTAATGTTTCTTAAACAGTAATTTATAACAATGGGATTATTAATTAATTAAGCAATAAGACATTTTTATAGTTACATTTTAAATATTTAGTACTGTCGTTTTACATATATTTTTTTTACTAATGCAGGGTCACTGCACATATTTGACCAATTTTAAATTTTGACTAAACTTGTCTAATGTTATTTCCTTCCGGTTTTCCTGTTTTTGGTAATTATTTTCCCCACTTTAACAGTTGTATTCATATTTTTTTATTTAATATTATTTAGTTGTGCAAAAAGCTGTAGTGGCAGTCAATACAAAATTATAAATTTTAAAATGAAAAAACTGAAAACATCGAACTATTCATGAATAAGTTTTATTTTTATCATTGTATTATCAATATTAGATTGGGAAATGTACTTTTAAACTACAAACTCTCACTTAAAGGTTATATTTTTTATATTTTCATATTTTTTTTTTACTAGGTAAAAGCTCACATTGGTATATCTTCTATACATATAATAAATAAAAATTAAATGCCATTTGTTGGAAAGCACATAACGTCAGAACGGCTGGACCGATTCGGCAATTTTTTTTTTAATGTTCATAATAACGTTTTTAGGGGAAAAAAAATTAGAAAAGTTGCCCGGAAAATTTGGGAAAAACAAAAGTGCTTTTTCTATGGAATTTTTGTATGAACTCACCATAACTTCACGACTCAAAATATGGACGTGCATAATTCTTTTTTTGTTTTGTTCGTTATGGTCCTGGCAGTTTTCAAGAAAAAAAAATTTTGGGACAATTACAAACAAAATTCAGAAAAAATACAAAAATCATAATTTTTGTATGCACTATCAATCATAACTGACGATAAGAATGAGATATTTAGTTGATTCTTAATTTGTTTTGTTCTCGGGATGGAAATAACTCAAATTAACGTTTTGAATTGAAAAAAAATGTGGAAGATCTGGAGAAACACATTATAGCCTAACACGTATAAAATTCTCCACTTCTGAATGTGCTCCTCAAATCGAATATCCATGGCCACAATCGTTAATAGATACAACAATCACTCAGAATTTTTTTTTCTCATTTTTACTTTGTTTACACATTTCCAATAGTTTTTCACAAATTCACAAAACGATCACAAACAAATTTATTTAAATTTGGAGAGGACATCTGTCGAGTCAACTAGTACTGTAATAAAAATAAATAATACTGGCTTAGACAACATTTCATTGGCTCAATACGCTTAATAATATGAATGTTTAAAAACACCAAAAATGTCCTTGGTCTCACAGTAGTGTGGCCGACTAATAGGTATTAGAAAAATGGTTGTAACCAAATTTTTTTTCCATCAATTACCATCACTCAAGCTATAGAGTGAAAGCTTTTCTTTGTACTACATATTAGATACTTTAAAGTATGGAGCCGAACTGAGGCAGTAGGCAGAAGAAACTTTCAATTACCCCATGTCCTGTGTGTGCACAAGAAAAAAAAACTATTCCATATTATTGAAATTTATTACCTGTACACAGTTTTAGGAGGTAATAACTCATTCTGAGGTCATTTAAAAGAAGTGTTTTAGGCAATATACCCTTATGTAAGCCAAATTTATTATCTTCATCTCCCTCATTTGCCATTTGAAACGTGAAATTACTTTTTGTGCGCTACACTAACAGAAAGTAATGGATTTTCTTTCAAATAGGTGTATATCTATTAAAATAGACTCTTACTCAAATACTTCCAGAGGGACGTGAACATCTTGAACTTGTGATTTCAATTTATCAACTTCTTGTAATCCATGTACTAATGCCTGCCTAAAATAATTTGATATTAGAAAGCACATTACCATATACAAATGAATTGCCTTACAATTTTTGATTGAGAACGTTTTGACTCTGAGGTTGAAAATCACTTACAATAATATGAATCTGTCTCACATTTTCTATAAAAATTTCTAATTGAGTTTCTAAATTTTCCAACGACGATGCCATTTTAAAAGAAAAAGTCACGTCACAAATAAGACCTTAGGAGTTACGAAAATAGAGAGAATTTATAGGTAGCTGCTATCTAAACACATTCTCTTGTTCGAAAACCATATAAGTACAAGCATAATATAATAATAATCGTAAAGCAATAATTTTATTTTATATTTTTGATCGAGTGAGAAATGAGAATCTACCACAGAACACAGAACATACCTTAGCTTGAATCAATGAAAAATGAAATCTACTAGTGTTGGCTAGTGATAGTGAGTGCGCGCCATAATTCCATGGCTAGAAATTGGCCTCAATGATTTGGGATCGAGGGGGATTATCCCTCTTTAGTCTTTATCCTGCCTCATCTCGTGTAGGCCTGGACAGCCTTCGTAGGTGGGCCCCATCCGTCGTCTACTTCGAAATGCGGCCGGTGTAGGCGCTTTGTGGGACCTCCTTTTGTCCCCGCCGGCAAGGGCCATTTTTTCCGGCGCTCTTCTTGCTTCACCGGCTCGTCTGTTTCAACCCCGGTGGTGGTGTGTGCGTGTGTGCGTGCGTGCGTGCGTGCGGGTGCGTGCGTGCGGGTGCTTGCGTGTGGGTGCGTAGGCGCGTGTGCGTGTGTGTGGGTGCGTGCGTGTGTGCGCGTGCGTGTGTGTGGGCCTGTGTGCGCGTGTGTGGGCGTGTGTGCGTGTGTGTGTGCGTGTGTGTGTATTCGTTTCTTGATCCTGGAGGTCTCTGAAACAGAAAAGGTTAGCGGGTAGGGGGGGGGTCGTTGGGGTGGTCACCCAGGGTCAAAAAGTTGGTGTCTAGGTCTTTTGTGTTTGTTGGTCACGTAGGGTACGTAGTCAACGGCTTGCCTGAGGAGGGGATTGTCATGTCTAGCGGCTACGTCAAACCGCGCCATTATTCCATGGCTAGAAATTGGCCTCAATGATTTGGGATCGAGGGGGATTATCCCTCTTTATCCTGCCTCATCTCGTGTAGGCCTGGACAGCCTTCGTAGGTAGGCCCCATCCGTCGTCTACCCCGACCGCAAATGCGGCCGGTGTAGGCGCTTTGTGGGACCTCCTTTTGTCCTGGCTGGGCCCCGCCGGCTAGGGCCCTTTCTTCTGGCGCTCTTCTTGCTTCGCCGGCTCGTCTGTGTAAACCCCGGGGGTGGTGTCATTGTTATGGTTGGGTAGGGTAGTGCGGCTATGCAGCCTGGGATGCGCTTTGCTAAGGTGGCCCTTAGGCTAGCGCGGGAGGGGAGGGGTAAGGAGGGAATAGGGGGTGTGTATGTGTGTGTGTGTGTCATTGTTTGTCTTCGTTTCTTGATCCTGGAGGTCTCTGAAACAGAAAAGGTTATCGGACAGGGGGGGAGGGGATGTCGTTGGGGTGGTCACCCAGGGTCAAAAAGTTGGTGTCTAGGTCTTTTGTGTTTGTTCTCGACAGACTGACACTATCCCAGGAACTCATCTCCTGGATTCGACAAACACGAAACCTGGGCGTGATGATGGACCAGCGTCGCACGTGGAAACCGCACATCGTGGAGACGGTGGCGAGAGCGAAAACCACCAGGGCTAGGCTCTATCCCTTACTCAAAGGTGGAAACACCCTCAGTTTAAGGAATAAGCGAACGCTTATCAAGGTGGTACTTCAACCGCAGCTAACCTACGCCTCCACGGCGTGGGGTCACGCGGCAAAAAGCCACTTAAAGTCATTACAGGCTGTGGAAAACATAGCCCTCCGCACGGCCACCGACGCGCCCTGGTACGTAAGAAACACTGACATATTACGAGACTTACAATACACAAACGCTACACAGACAATAAGACAAAACGCGGAGAAACGATTTGACGTAGCCGCTAGACATGACAATCCCCTCCTCAGGCAAGCCGTTGACTACGTACCCGACGTGACCGACAAACACAAAAGACCTAGACACCAACTTTTTGACCCTGGGTGACCACCCCAATGACCCCCCCCCCCCGCCCGCTAACCTTTTCTGTTTCAGAGACAGCCAGGATCAAGAAACGAAGACAACGACACACACACACACACACACATACACACCCCCCATACCCTCCTTACCCCTCCCCTCCCGCGCTAGCCTAAGGGCCACCTTAGCAAAGCGCATCCCAGGCTGCATAGCCGCACTACCCTACCCAACCATACCACACATAAACATGACACTACCCCCGGGGTTTACACAGACGAGCCGGCGAAGCAAGAAGAGCGCCAGAAGAAAGGGCCCTAGCCGGCGGGGCCCAGCCAGGACAAAAGGAGGTCCCACAAAGCGCCTACACCGGCCGCATTTGCGGTCGGGGTAGACGACGGATGGGGCCCACCTACGAAGGCTGTCCAGGCCTACACGAGATGAGGCAGGATAAAGAGGGATAATCCCCCTCGATCCCAAATCATTGAGGCCAATTTCTAGCCATGGAGTAATGGCGGCGACTAGTGACATCCAATGATTTGAACATCCAAACATAACTCATAGTATACAGGTTCGGAAAGTCCCCATGGTACATCGGCCGTTACGTGAGAGCGATAAAGTAAGTCGTAGAAATCCGTGCGATAGAGAAGGATGGCTATAATGAAGACGTCTCATAGTCACCGCCCGTTTCGCTCTTCCACAAATAATATCCACTTCCACTTGTAATTCAGTGACCGGTGGTCATCTTTGTTTTCGTCGTTTGCCTTTTCTTTAATAGATGTCACTACATATACAGTTCTGACTCCGGTATTCCGATATGTTAATACAGTCCGCTAACAGAGGGCAAAGTATACTTAAATAACAACTAAATGAACTTTAAATGGAGCTGAGCACTATAGTCTATTTGAATAACTTCTCAGTAGGGGAAACACGCGCCATTATTCTATGGCTAGAAATTGGCCTCAATGATTTGGGATCGAGGGGGATTATCCCTCTTTATCCTGCCTCATCTCGTGTAGGCCTGGACAGCCTTCGTAGGTGGGCCCCATCCGTCGTCTACCCNTTGTGTGTGTGTGTGTGTGCGCGTGCGTGTGCGTCGTTGTTTTCGTTTCTCAAACAGAAAATGTTATCGGACAAGGGGGAAGGGGATGTCGTTGGGGTGGTCACCCAGGGTCAAAAAGTTGGTGTCTAGGTCTTTTGTGTTTGTTCTCGACAGACTGACACTATCCCAGGCACTCATCTCCTACAATCGACAAACACGATACCTGGGCGTGACGATGGACCAGCGTCTCACGTGGAAACCGCACATCGTGTAGACGGTGGCGCGAGCGAAGTCCACCAGGGCTAGGCTCTATCCCTTACTCAAAGGTGGAAACACCCTCAGTTTAAGGAATAAGCGAACGCTTATC